AAGATATTGTAAATTGTTCCAGCACATAAGCACTGGGCAAGATCCAGAGGGACAAAAGAAACCAATAAAAGTGGTGTCAGGAGCTCTTAGTCCTGATCTGTTACAAAAACAACCAGGGTGGATGCTACCTCTTTGAATCTACCTCGTTCTCTCACAACCCACAATGAAGGTATTGTAAATTGTTCCAGCACATAAGCACTGGGCAAGTTCCAGAGGAAAAATCAAAAACCCAATGAAATCTGTCAGCCCTTAATCCTGAAGAGTTACTTAAATAATAAGGGTGGATTCTGCCTCTCAATGTACCTCACAGATACAGTTATCTTCAAAAGTACTAGATAAACTTAAAATAATATTAATATTGAACTCAAATGTCAGGAGCTCTTAGTCCTGACGTATTATTAAAAATACCCAGGGTGGATGCTACCTCTTTTAGTCTTCCTCTCTAACTTATAATCCACCACACTTGGTGAATTAACCCAGCACCGAAGTGCTAGTTAAGATAAAGAGGGACAGCAAAATTTTAAAAAACTACTATGCAATACTTTAAGATGGCCCAATCATGAGGAATTTTAGTCTGGGACTTCACAACTAACAGGATGAATGTCGCCTATTTCTGCCTCAACCACATTGATCTACTGAATACCTAATGCAAAAAATATTTGGCAAGCACAAGAAATAGATTTTAAGGCACACTTGATCCTTACTACTGAATCAACCCATCTTAGTTCTGCATTTAATGGCCCATGCGGTTCTTGTTGTTAATACACTACAAGATGTAAAAGTTTCAGAGAACACCAAAGTGTGTTGACAAGCAAAATACATTCACTTTGAGAAAATTGTGTGTTGCTTTTAGTTCTAGACTGAAATAAACAGTCAGAGTGGAAAAGCAACAATCAATATTCCTCCATATCTTACAGTAAGAGTATAAGAACTAATACCGTCTGTATGAGGAGGGTCCTAACAAATAAGAATTAAAAGGGAGCAGGAAAGGACTGTTGTTAATCTGCCTGTCAAATAAAACCAATTGATGTAATAATATCAAAAGTAGTGAAGAAAGGGTATTGAAGTTGTCAGTAAATTTCCAAAGCTACTGGACACATTTCTTTAAGACTCCCACTTAAACAGAAGCCTACCTCTACTCATTCTATGAAGGTACGTGAGAAATTCAATAAATGACCATTGGAAGATAAAACACTACAGCATAAAGTGTACCTACCCTTTAGGGAGAAGGTCGAAGGGGTCCTTGCTCTTGGGTTCCTCAGCCAGGGCCATATCACAAGCATCCAACTCAGCTGGTTCTTCCTTAGCCTCCTTCTCTGCCTTCTTGGCAGGCTGTTCCTTCTTCTCTTTCTTAGCCTCCTTCTTGCTATCCTTACCCTGGGAACCTTGAAAAACAAATGAAAAAGTAATTGTAGCCATATATTTAATTGACTCAAATGCGGAACATAACAGAATGAAGTAAAAAGAGGCAAAGAAGTTACCTTGGAATTCAGCGAATTTCTTGGCATCAAACTCAGCAGCCTTCACACAGAGGGTGAAATTTCCAATGACTGATTTAACTTGAGGCTGGTTGACAATGGTGGTAAACCATCTGTTTACATTTTGATATGGCTTCCTGAGGAGGGAGGTAGTATATTAACACCAATAAAGACTCTGAAAACATAACTGACAAAACACAGCAGAAATCATTACCTGAAGGTTGGGTCCAAAACATATTGGTAAAGGTGAAGGAGGGTGCAAGCCACGCTAATATCAGCCAAAGTAATGCGCTCACCAACAAGGTAAGTACGGGTGAGCAGATGTTGGTTCAGGGCATTCAAAGCAGATTTCACATCTTCCTTGGCACGATCAGTGGCCTGACATCACAAAGGAACAGGTGAAGAACATGTACATACATAAGATAACAGCATAGAAAAGGTTATCAGGATAGTACTCACAACTTTGTTGTATTGCATAATTCCTAAACAAGGGAAGACCCATGTGCAAGAAGCTGGCAGAATTTCGCTGTCAGCAAATCCAAGCCACTGAATGATCTGGGCTTTTTCGACATCCGTGGAGCCACGCAGCTGTTGGTTGGCAACTGAAATAAAGTTACATAGATTAAATACCTGGTACTTCAAAACTAGTGCAACACAAATTAAAATAAGTACGCCATTTTAAATTTGGATGTATTACCAAAATAAATTGAATTATATAAGTAAGACACTCCCCCCCTTTCAGTTAAATTTGAGTCCTAAGGTTTGGATTTGGGCATTAAGTTAGTTAACATAGAAGTGATGTAACTCACCATAGTACGCGATGGCATTGCTCTCAGCAATGTATTTTCCATCGTTGGATTCAAAGGCTGGAACCTGAAACAATTGAAAATGCGGTATGTACAACAAAGAAATTCAAATTAAATTAGTTGCCCAAGGACGTTGAAGTGAATCAGATGCATGAATCACTGACCTATTGTAACATATTTGAATGTATGACATCACCCACTTCCAACATTGCAAACATGAACTAGTATTCGAAGGTGCATGACACTGAATGCAGTAGGCAGTTACCAGCAAAGAGGGACAACAAAGTAAGAGCTGACGTACGCATTATGCCGAGAAGATTCATTTGCTGATATGGCAGGGCTAACACAGTGGAAAACCTAACCTCAACTTGATACCTTTCAAAACATATTTGAAGCACTCTACGACACGATATAAAGTACAAGCTATCGCAAGTAAGCTCTAACTGAGCCCGAGGATCTTAAAACTCGCCAAGTACAGAAGAACTGAAGAACTTTAAGACTTGGCATGGTACTGACGTGTCCACAAACAAAACAAATAAAAGTCACTTAAGGACGTAAACAAACACACACCGAAGAGATTTCGGCCTGGCACTTTCGTTTAAACTTTTCCCATTTTCGTGCAACCTCATAATGAATCTTTTCCTCGAACAGCCGTTGATTCTCATCACCAGCCGGCACAGTCATAACACCGGGAGGTCAAAAACTTCGACTGACGCAAGGACGACTTGAACAAATTGTCCTGCAAATTCAGAACGCTCATGTATATTTACCTTGCCTAGAGGAAACTTCTTGAGGAAAGCATCGGAGCGGTTGGTCTCCCCGAAGACGAAGTTGGGGCAGACTTTCACGTTGCTTCCTGCATACTGTGCGGCGATGAGCGCCTTGTACGCACGGAAGTTCTCGGGGTAGGTGTACAAGGTCTGGAAAATAACACGGGATTCGCGTACATTGAAAAAAGCTCTACACGTCTGAAGCCAATTTCATTCAACATCGCGAGGATGATGATGAAACTTAATGGATTTAAATTCCGTGAGCAAATACTCACACCAGACGCCATTGCGATGGACTCCAGAAAGGAAGTGACCTGCCCTCGATCCACTTGATGATTCTTCAGATAAGTGACTATCGGCTTCCGGCGGCCACCGATAAAGATGTCGGGCAGAGAAACAAGGCAGAATTTTCCTCCGCTAGACGATTTGTTGTTGTTGCCCCTTGGATTTGGATTTGCCAAAAGTTGGTGAGATGGTTAACGGCTAGACGCTGATAAGTTATTAAAGTGTGACTGAAAGAACAGGAATTAGCTTATCGCTTAGCCTTATATATAGGGCAGTAGCGATAGGTGAAGCATCGAGGCATCGACTTCCAATCTGAGTGGCTGCTGAGTGGGGAGCAGACGACACAACAAAACAGCAATTTTGATTAGTTTTGAATTATTCTCGAATCTTCATCATTAATAGTCTATTGAAAAATGATACATAAGAATAAGAACAGCCACTCATGTGCAAAGTTTTGACCTTTTCCCCCAGATATCCCCATGAGAACGTCTAGAAGCAGATGTGCCTCTCCCTCAGTTTAAACTGCCGCGGCTTCGCGCCGTACGAGCAGGTCTGAAAGGAGGTTAGGCTCCTTTTTTTATACTGTTTGAATACTATTTTTGTGCATAAATACATCCGTGATTTGAGTTCCCGATTCGAACGCACTGCATTACTTGGATTTTTGTGCGAGAAATATTGAACAGTCTTGATTTCCGAGGCTCCCACTCAGTGTTCTTCGGAACGTTACGGGCTGGTTTCACCGGCAGTGCTTCGATAGAAAGATAACGGTTCGCTATTGCTACTGCTCTATGTTTTTCTGCCTCCAAAAATACAGGAAGCCATCAGCACTAATCACGGCCAAAAACTGATAGTTGTACATTCACAAATAAAACTATGCAGCTGATTTTTAAAATTTTGATTTAATTAAGTGTCCCTAACGATGATCTCAGAAGGGTGTGGCTGGTCGAATTCCGCTTTTGGTAGAGTCAGAAGGGGGTTAAATATGTGTCGACAATAATGTGTGTTGGCAATGCCGAAGTCATAGTACAATGAAACGTCGGATTACGGTTGGCTGTGCGCATGCTCAAACCACAATTCTCATGACCATGGTCATTGTACCGCTACTTTGAAACGGGGTGGGGAAAGTGTTTCCTCCTGACTCCAGACTCCAGTTGCGAGAGTGAAAACAAACGTCTAACCTAAGATTCTGAGCTTAGAGCTTTCACTGTTTCAGAAATCGTTTTGAATATGTTCTGCTCTCTCGGGTAGTATATTTGTTTTCGGTTTGTTTACTGGTCATTCGTTTGCCGGGAAATGTGCAGTTGGTGTTTCGTCGAAGATTTATGTTCCCATATGCTATGACGTTAGGCCTTGAACTGAGAGCTGGAAGATGGATTCTGACATGTATGTCAGTGACTGGTAAGTGAAAGTAACTCATACTCTAAGTCAATATATAATAGTTTTTGATCTTTATATGAGATGTGTTATGGGTAATTATTTGTCGACAAAGAGCTTTGCTTTTCCGAGGATTATTTCATAACTTTTACTTTTAATTGTTTTTGTTGTTGTGTTGTTGTTGGTGATGTTAATGCCCCTTGATTGTGCCCCTTAGTGTTGTTATCGACATGCTGCCGGGGTTTGGAGCTCACAGCGCGCTTCTCTCAAGGCGGGCTCCACGGCGAGATCCGCTTCACGGCCGACAGCAACGGCTCAGCATCGACGCCCGGGGCCACCCTGGTCAACACGTACCTCGAAGTGGTGTCGGACCGCGAGGTCAGCGCCGAGAACCCCGACGTCTGGTCGTGGAGCACCCACGAGTTTCCCGTCGACTACTCCCTGCTCGGGGGTCGCTGTGATGTCGAGAAGCTCGGGCGCAGGTGAGGGTGACTCGTAGTCCGGCCCCTGCATACGGGAGCAAAGTTAAATAACTCTTTTGTCATCCCCAGGATGGTAGACCTAGACGCGGTGCTCGGGCGCCTGTCGCTGCCGGAGCTTGCCACCAGCGAGATCGTCGTGCCCGAGGGTGTTCCCCTGGCCTTGACGGGGCCCCAGGGCGTGTGGGCGCGCTCCCTGCTGCTCGTCAATGACGATGGCCGCCGGGCCTGCGCCACCATCACGGTGAGTAATCCCACAGCACAGGCGCTTGTCCAGCCAGAAGCTCGCCAACACTTGACTCTTGACTTCTCTGGGGCCCGCAGGTATCCGGGCGGGCGGACGAGCGTGTGGCGGAGGCTCGCTTCAGCAACCTGGAGGTGTCCGGGTCCGTGCACTTCCGCTGGGTGGGGAGCCACACCCGCGGCCCCGCGGAGTCGCCGCACGACGCCGCCACCCACACCGACACCCTCATCCTGGCGGACCTGCGGAGGGTGCCGCCGCCCAACGCCACCAAGTCGCGCGCCCCCGTCATCGTGGACCACGACTGGAGGATCTACGTGACGGACATCCTGGACTCGGAGTCTGGTGGGTGTCTCGTGTGACGATGCCTGGGCCGCCCGCAGCACTCACTCACTCTCATTGTACCCGTGCCCGGTTCCACCTGTTCCGCAGACAAGTCCCGGGGCAATTGCAACTTCCTGCAGCTCGTGTTCAGCCCCGACGCGTCCACGGCTACCCTGGGCGACCTCGGTTCCCGCCTCGGCCCGGTGCCGGTGGCGCAGGAGCCCGCCTCGGCGCGCGCCGTGCTCCGGGACCCGCTGCTGGACCGGCTGCAGGCGGACCTGGCGAGCAACGGCCGCAGTCTGTACCTCGTGCTGTTGGACCCCGAGCACCCCGAGAGCTTCCTGGCGTGCGCCAAGATACGCCTCGTCCCTCCAGTGACCACCGTGTGAGTCCCTCTCGCCGACTCTCGCCTCGCCCTACATGAGCTTGCTGACCCCCTCCTGACCCACAGGGCCACGCTGCAGACCGCGGGGGCGCGCGGCCGGGTGACGCTGTCGCAGCGCTCCCGCTTCGACCCGACCCTCGTGCGCTACGACCTGCGGCTGCCGCGCCCGGACGTGGCGCTGGCGCTGCAGGGCCTCCGCGTCCACGAGCTGCCGCCGCCGGCCGGCCACCTGGGCCGCGACAACCCCTGCAACCACACCGGGGGCGTGTACGACCCCGAGGAGAAGGGCGGCGCCGACGCGCGGCACGGCTTCCGCGGCCAGGACGAGCACGCCGTCGGCGACCTCAGCAGCAAGCTCATACCCCTCCTGCCCTACCTGCAGAACGTCTCGTTCGACCTGCAGCTTCAGCTTTGGGACATGTTCCTGCCGCTGCAGGGCCCGCGCAGTGTCGTGCACCGCTCATTCGTCATCCTCACGTGAGTCCCGCTACCGGCCGCGAGCGTATCTGCTCTGACCGATCGTCTAGAAAGTGCGTCCGTTTTTGTCAGAATCATTCGGCAAATTACCGGAGCTCGGCGCCTGCGAGACACAGGGTAGGCCACACCGCGGTGCTCGCATGCACTGCAAGTAAGATGTTGCCTACCGACAAGGCGCTATGAGAGCTTGCCGTGGCTGCTGAACTTGGCAGTTTCGCGGCGGCGAATCGACGGGCGTACTTTCTGGATGACCCGCTAAATCCAAGTGGTTAAAACACTGAAAAACACTCGTCCCACCTCCGATGCAGGCCCAACGCGAGTGACCCCGCCGCGCGGCCCTCGCCCTGGACGTGCGCGTCCTTCTCTCGCTACGTCTCAGACAACGGCCAGAAGATGGCCATCGCGACGGCCGAGGCCGTGTTCCGCTACCCGCTGGCCGGCCGCATCGTCTTCAGACAGCCCCGAGACGACCCCTTTGCCGACACCACGGTGAGCGCCAGAGCGAGCCCACGTTCAGTTAGGATTACCCTCCGGCTCCTTTCCTAATTCTGATGTAACTGAAATGCCCCAGATCATCGTGGAGCCCCTGCTGCACTCGAGCGGCCCCGCCAACAACAGCCAGGACCACCGCTGGATGGTGCACGACCTGGCGCCCGGCAAGGACTACTTCAACTGGACCGCGCGCTGCATGAGCGCGGGCGGCGTGTTCGACCCTTACCACGTGAGTGTCCACAATGCCACCCGGGAGGTTCACTCGAACGGGCGCTTGAATACCGCCCGCCCGTGTCCACTTCTTGAAGTTATCATGTGCCGCGGGCTGGCGGGCCTTGCCCCTTTCACGATAGGCAACCCACCCAGCCTTATGCGTCGCGGTGCAGCATCTAGCAGCGCGAAGGGGTTTCCAAACACCAGGCACTATTCGCACCCGTAGGGCAACTTTTTGAACATTGGAAATCCGAGTTTGAGACGACGTGTGTACTGACCGCATACCCTCCCCACTGCCGCAGATCCTGCCGGTGAACAGCTCGACGACGGCGGCCACGCTGTGCGACCGCGACAAGCCGGGGCTCTGCCGGGTCGGCGACCTGACGACGCGCCTCGGCACCCTGCACATCGCGGGCCGGCGGCTGCACGCCGAGGCCCTGACGCGCCGCCTCTTCACGGACCGCTTCCTGCCGCTGAGCGGCGCGGCCAGCGTGCTGGGCCGGTCGCTGGTGCTGTTCGAGGACGACGGGCCCAAGGCCAGGGGCGAGCGGCTCGCCTGCAGCAAGTCAGTAGCGTCACTTCGGGGCCGAAACCTCGAGAGATATTGGAATTGAAATTGATTTATTAGGGCCTGTGCAAAAGGACTTTAAAGTCCCGCTGACACATAGACTCGAGAGATAGGAGGCGCGAAACGTCAAGGTCCGTAACGATCGATGTCCATGTTGCAGGATCTCCGCCATCTACCGCAGGAAGGCCGTGGTCAAGAATTGGTTCAGCAACGGCCAGAAGGCCACCGTCTCGGGGAAGATTGAGATCTTCCAACAGTCCGAGTATGACGGCACGGACGTAGAGGTGAGCCTAGAGGGCCTGGAAGATGCCAACGCCTACGAGGTGCATCAGGTGAGTGTCCCTTCGGTGTCCTTCTCTATGAATTACCCCTGGAAAGAAAGAGCGATTGTAACAGAGGCTGTTTTGTTATAGGCACCTGTGGAAGAGCAGTTGGAATTCCCTTGCGAGGACACAACCTTGGAAGGTGTCTGGGCTCCCCCGTCGTTCCAGCCGACTCTCTCTCCAGGTGTGGGGACACCTGACCAGCACCCACTCGGAGATCTTGCTGCCAAATTTGGCTACCTAGATAATCAAACCCACCTGAATGTTGCGTACAACGACTCTACTCTCCCTCTCTTTGGCCGAAACGCTATCATCGGCAGGTCGATAGTCATCTCCAAGAAGGCAAAGAATCGCAGATGGGCGTGCGCATCGCTTGAGAGGGGGTATGCCCCTTCTGAGGCCCGTGAACTCAGAGCTATTGCATCTTTCCATCATCCGGCTGGATTTGCGTACGGTTACATTAAATTGGTATGTACCTTAATTTACAAACATTTTTTTAATGAACAAGTGAAACAGTTGGATTATATTACAATAACAAGATAATACGTTTTACAGACTCAATTAATTCATTCTGATAACAGCCAAAGTGATACAGTTATTGAAGTAAACTTGAGGCACCCTGGTAAACATGATAGGAATATTGTGAGTAATT